TGGGCACAGTATATTAATTTTAACAGCTCCATCAGCTTGGGGGCAGAAATCAAAAGGATGATCTCAGTCATGCAGAAGAATTCAAGAGGTTTTGTGCTCTTTCCCTTTAAAAAAGGGGGTTTATTCTGATCTTTTAAGTAAATTGCAGGGATCAAACCTGCTATGACTGGACACCAGAAATTTTATGGAATCCAGGATTTGCTTGAAGATAATTTTTAAAAAACAATAATGCTAGCATGTGCTATGGTTTAAAAAGAATCATAACTGATTTAACTTCATTTTTTTCCATTTCACATAAAGATGAGTGAACCCTACTCTCATCTTTAATGAATGAATATGAGTCAAAGGTATTTCATTATTCTATTTATAAAATAATGTAGTCTTATGAAGCAAAGCCTTTTAGACTATGAAGTACATAAGAGGCATAATTGATGTGAAAGGAAGTACCATCATCCATGCTGAGACATGAAAATGAAAATTATTGGGACTTTTATTATCCCATGTGGTAGAATATCCCTGGCAATAAGGCATGGTCTTCCTGGAGAAGCAATGCCAAACATTTTACCTCTCTCCTGGTGAGACAAACGATTGAGTTGCCTTTTTACTGTGCATCCCATGGCCTTTATTCCCTCTCCTGCTCAGCATCCAGTGGTTTTAGGACGGGAATGTTCTTTCCCTGTGCTGACAGTGAGATCATTATTGGTGCCAAATGCTGCCCTCGTGCTGGTCGCCCCCGTTCTCTGCTTTGTTGTGAGATGTGTCTGTTCTCCACGTGAGTAGGGAATTGCCTGCAGTGAACTCAGGCCTGTTCAATGGACGAGTGCAGAGTGACAGGAGAGCACAGACCAGTGCCTTAATGCAAAGCCCCTGAGCCTGGGCTCTGTGCTGCTGCTGCCCTGCAGCACAATGTTGTTCTGGTCCAGATGCCTTCTCCTGTTTGCTGGTTGAGCACTGATCCGTGTGACAAACAGCGGCTGGAGCCGCCTCTCCAGGAGACAGACGTGGAATCGTGTCCGAATTGCTCCTAAGAATTGCTCAGGTGACCTAATTTTGCCTTCCACAATCAGTTTGTCAGAGGAATCACTGCTTGGAGTGATACTGTGTGTCTAGAGTTTAACCTGCAGTCTGCAAAAATGGTAACATTTAGGGCTGCTTTTCTTACAAAAAAAAAAAAAAAAAAAAAAAAAGAAAAATAAGGGGAGAAAAGTGTCCAAAAAAACCAAACAATAAAATCCAAAACATGGGCATATAAACAAGCAGCGTCACAGGAGATGTGTCCCTGAAAGGTGTTGACAAACCTGTCCAGTCTGTCTCAGCATGGAAATGTTAATTCTGAGATGCTGCTGGTGTATATGAGGCTTTTCATAGAATCCCAGAATTGTTCAGGTTGGAAAAGACCTATATGATCAGCAAGTCCAAGTGTTCTTTCTCCGTGTCTGGGCTTTTACATTTGTAAATTAGCAGATTGTGTTAGCTCTGCTGGCAGAATGTGAAACACCAGTAAGGAGTTAAGAACAAGGAATCAAAGAATTATGATTATAATTATTTTTGCAAAGAGTTCTTGGGAAAAGAGAAAATGCAACGCCTATTTTGCATCACTTGGGGAGGGACAAAAGAAGTGTTGGCTTTATAAAGTCAGTAGCAGTAGTGTTTGCTGCTCGCTGTGACCTTGCTGTGCAGCTGTTGGAGAGCAGGAATGCTTCTCCTGCCAGCAGGGTCATCTCTGCAGTTGTTGATGGAGAGCAGGCAGTGAGTGCTGTGTGCTGGGGATGTGAAACTCAACTCCAGAACATCACCCGGGCTGGGCATCAGTGGATGGATGGAGTGTTTGGAGAGCTCCCTCTGCACTCGCTCTGATCACACCAGCTGTGCTTGGAGCTTTCTGAGGATGGGTTTGAGACACCCGCGTTTCACTGATTTAAAATAAATTCTCATTGCTGACAGGTGTGAAACTCTAAATTCTGGTAGAGAGAATACGTGGGAAATGGCAGACGTGGCTTTTACCGGCTGCATGGGATGGAGAGTTTCCATGGCTCTGCTTCCCAGTGTGACCGCGCTGGAGGGACAGCCAGACTTGGTCGAGCAGAATCCTCTGGGGGTGTTCTGTGATCGTGGCAGAAGGTCACGGAGCGGTTAGCAGTGCTGGAATGATGCGGGAGGAATGCAGGGTGTATCCCCCTGTGCCAGCCCCCGGGGAGGCCGGCACCTTGCGGAGCCCGGTGTTCCTGGAGCTGTGCGTCCCGCTCTGCTGCCGAGCGCCCCTGGACGGGAAGGTGAGCGGGAGCCGCTGCCGAGGGCCCTTCAGGACACACGGCGCAGGCTGCGAGCCAAATGGCTTGTTTGGCTTGGCTGTCGTGCCTCCTGGCTGCTCTTGTCCCGGGGCCCGAGGGACCTCTCCCGTTCTGGGAGCGGATCCGTGCTAATTGCGGGCCGGGAGCAGCGGCGGGAGCGCTGCGGGCAGCATCCCCCAGCCCGGGCAGCTTGGCGATCGTCCGGATATTCAACATCACGTCCCTTGAGCCGTGAATTAGCTCCGTGCTCTGAGATAACAGAGCAGATTTCTGTAGTTCTCTGGGCGGGGTGAAGGGGGATGGCAGGACCCCCAGGTGATGGTGGGCTTTGCACCAGCGGCACAGGCGGCTGCAAAACAACTCGTCCTATTTACAGGAAGTTGCAGGGTGGTAAGTTGTGATGAGTAGCAGCAGAGCAACCTTCGAGTACCACTTACTGCCCGTAGGAATTGCTGCTGCAGCATCCCGACCGATGATGGATGTCCGCGTTGCCACCCCGGTGCGAGCGGAGCGCAGCCCCGAGCGGGGCGGGATGCGGGGAGCAGGGGGTGTGGGATGCTCCGGACAGGGCTGGAGGAATGTGCCGGCTATTTGTCTGCGCTTAAAAGTGGTTCCTCTGGAGGGGTCTGTCATCCTGGGAGGATGAAAAATGGTTGATCCCGCTCCGGGTGAGGAGGCTGCGCTCCCCGCGCGGCGCGCTGGAAAGCGCGGCCTGGATCGGGAGGCGGGATGAGCCCTGGCAGCCCCGCGCACCCCAGCTCGGGTGGATCTACACATTTGGGTCTTGAGAAAAACATAAACAATTTTTCACTCTTAGGCTCATATTTTGTAACAGGTCTTTCCTTCCTCCGTCTCTTCCCTTCGTTGTGTGTTTTTTTTTCTTTTTTTTTTTCTTTTTTTTTTTTTTTTTTTTTCTTCATTGGAAATGGCATTTTGGGTGTCAGAGAAATGGAGAAATGTGCTGTCATTCTATAGCAGCGAACAACATTTAGGAGGAACTGGAAATGTGTTTTCAGGCTGGCCAAGGGAAACCTCCCAGAGAGATCCCAGAGCCATTAAATATTACCTTGTTCCAACTCTCCACCATGGGAAGGGACACCTTCCACTAGAGCAGGTTCCTCCCAGCCTCTGGTCTTGAATCCATATCTGCTGAAGATACACAGGTCTGTTCCGTGGTGAATAGAGCTAAGAGGAATAATCAGTGTTAATGTGTCAGCGTTAAAGACAATACTGATATCTGAGAAATGAGCTACATCAGGAATTCTCTGTGTTAACAGAGCAGCAGTGTGTGCTGTGGGATCACAGTGTCCCTGATAAATGGATGTATGCAGAGGCTGGGACCCAGAGCATCCCTCATTCCTGGTGTCAGAGTCCAGATTCCCCCCAGGAGCTGCTGCTGGGGCTGTGCCCTGCCCAGCTGTGTCTCCAGGTCTGGAGCTGTTCCTCACTAGAAGGGAGGTCAGGCCCTGGCACGGCTGCCCGGGGCAGTGGTGAAGCCCCGTCCCTGGGGGGTTTAAAAGACCTGTAGCTGTGGCTCTTGGGGTTTAGTGGTGGAAGTGGCAGTGCTTTCCTTCCTTTTTACACCTGCTTTTTTATTGCTTTTGACCCTCACTGGCACTGGTGAAGGATGTATTGATTGTGGGAGGGAGGTGCAAGACAGCTGCAGGTGCTTTCTCAAGCCTGACTTTTAATGGGATGTTAGGTATGGAACCTAGAAACAGTATTTCTAATGCTGCTTAACTTCTTTTTTTTTTTTCTTCTGCCATCCTGGTTTGTGAATGACTAAGAGCGGGTATTTACTGGTTGTTAATTACCTCAGCATCCCTGCAAAAGCACTGGCAAGCTGGGTGTGAAAGGGGCTGTGTCTGTCACACCCTCCAGCTGTGTACCAGAGCCAGGTTCTGATGAAACCGCTGCTTGGGAAGGGCTTTTGCATGTCTAGCCAATCTAGCAATGGGGCTTGGTAATTGTGCAGAGTGTTGGGTGAACAAACATTTATTAAGGAGGGTCACAGATAAAAAAAACCAAATCGATTTTGGGTAGTTTTGACTGGTTTTGAGGAGGAAGTGTTGCCTCTGATACAGAATGGACTAAGATCTGAGCTCACCTGGTCCAAGCTGATGAGCACCACACACCTTGCCCTTTTGTGGGCCTGGGTAAGTCCTGGATCCCATTAACACATAAAATTATCCCAAAAGGCAGGTGATGGCAGACTTTTCAGTGGTGTCCAGCGCCAGGATGAGGAGCAATGACCATAAACCACGAGAAGTTTCACATCAACACGAGAAAGAGCTTCTGTGTGTTGAGGATGGGAACAGGCTGCTCGGGGAGGCTGGGCAGTCTCCCTGTCTGGAGCCGTTCCAGCCTCACCTGGATGTGTTCCTGTGAGAACACAAGCGTGTTCCAGGTAACCCTGCCTGGGCAGGGGCTGGGACTGCCCGACCTGCAGAGGACATTTCCGTGCTGCTGGCAGGGAAGCGTGATGCGTATCCCGGGAGGAGCCAGCTGGCCGAGGGAATCCTAGCTCTCTCTGCTGCCGCTCCCGGGCGGGCGGGACTCCACTCCGGCGCTTGTTTGCTGCCGCTGGCGCGGCCGGGCCCCGCCGCTCCGCCGCGCTGCCCGCCCCGGGGCGTGCGCCGGGGCTCCGGCACCGCCGGCTCCGCTCCCGCGCGGCCCTTCCCGCGCCCGCCCGACCCGCCGCGGATGCTAATCGGATTTACCGGGCGGAGAGGGCAGGGAAAAAGCCGGCCGGATCCGCAGCCGTGCGGCCGCGCGGTAAACAATGAGCTGGGAAGCGGCTGCTGCAGCTCCCGTGCCGTGAGGAGCGGAGCCGCGCTCCGCGGGAGGAGGATGCGTGCGTGGATGTGAGCCGTCCCTCGGCGCCTCTCCGGGGTGCCGCTGCCATGGACGCCGGCCGCCGGCGGGGAGCGCAGCCGGAGCCCAGCCTGACCCCGCCGCAGAGCGGGGTGTGACACCGGAGCATTTATTTTTTAATTACTATTTATTTATTTCATTATTTTTTAACCGGGTTGCAGTGGATTGTGGCTCTGCGTTTTCAGCCACCCGCGTCTCTCCATCTCTCCATTCATCCATCCATCCATTCATCCATCCGTCCATCTCGGCGCCGATGCCCGCCGCTGCCTGAAGGGCAGAGCCATCATGTACCTCCTGGACAGCAGCGAGCCGCCGGCCGCCTCCTCCTCCCCCGAGAGGATGCAGCGGGGCACCCCGCAGAGGAAGACCGTGTACCGCATCTCCGTGACCATGGTGAAGAAGGAGCTGCTGGGGCCGGAGAGCGGCCGCGCCGGCCCCGAGCTGCCCCGGCGCGGGCGGAGCCGCCCGCCGGGCTCCTCCAGCCTCACCAGGGCCGGGCTGCTGCTGCTGGAGGAGGAGGAGGGCGAGGAGGAAGGCGAGGAGCGGGACAGGGTCCCCAGCCCCTGCGGCTTCCGCACCTTCCGGACGCTGAGCACGGGGCAGCTGGAGCTGGGCCGCCTCAAGGTGCCCCGGAGAGCGGGGCCGCCCCTGCCCGGGGCGCCGCGGGACAGCGCCGGAGCCGGAGAAGCCGCGGCGGCCGCCGCCGCATCCCCGCCCGGGGAGGAGGGGGACAAGGACGGCGGGCCCGGGGAGCCGGCCCCGGGGGAGCGGGGCCACAGCCCGCGGCGGCAGTCGGGGCTGCTGCGGCGCAGCTTCAGCTTCAGGCACTGGAGCGGCGGCGGCGGCGCGGAGCCGGGCCGGGTGCGGCGGCACAGCAGCTCCGGCTGCCTGCCCGGGCCGCCGCCGCCCTCGCCGCCCGCCGCGCTGCCCGCCGAGCCCCCCGAGAAGCGCAACACGCTGGACGTGGGCGAGGTGCTGAGCCAGGCGGAGCCGCTGTCCCGGCTGGAGCGCTGGGAGCGCACCAAGAGCAAGAACCGGACCCTGGATAACAGCGACCTGCAGCGGCTCTCGGAGCGGCTGGGCCGGGAGGGCCCCGCCGCCGGCACCGAGCACCGGCTCCTGCGCTTCTTCAGCGGCATCTTCGCCCGCAGGGACGGCCCCGCCGCCCTCTTCGGTAGCCCCCACGGGCGCTCCCCCCGCAGCAGCTTCTCCAGGTCCAGGGCTTATTTTAGCAGCCTCAGGAGAGCCGCCGTGGACATGCAGTCCAGCTCCGAGAGCATCAACGGGTCCCCCCAGAAAGGTGCCCGTCCTTGTCTCCTCTGGGTGGCTCGGCATCGGTGCTGGGGATGGACGGTGGGGTCAAGCGGCTGCTGGCTGCGAGGGGAGGGAGATGCTGCACTGGGGTACGTGAGGGTGGGCAGGCCCTGGCACAGGGTGCCCAGAGAAGCTCTGGCTGGCCCTGGATCCCTGGAAATGTCCAGAGCCAGGTTGGATGGAGCTTGGAGCAACCTGGGATAGTGGAAGGCGTCCCTGCCCATGGCATGTCTAGGAAGGAGATGATGTTTAAGGTCCCTTCCAGTCCAAACCGTTCCTAATTCTATGGATACAGCATGCTTTGAAGTACATGGTAGTGCAGCTCTGCAGAGTGCAGGTCAGGCTGTGTGTCCTCCTGAACCAAAAATCCCTCTCTGGGGTGATTGGCTGTGCATTCTAGGACAGATGAGTGAGGCAAATGTCGCTTGTTTAATTATGGAATAGAAGCTGGTCTGGAGTGCTGCTCTATATAGGTCACTGGGTGGCCCAGTGCTGCACAGCACTGGGACTTTCTCCTTTTGGAAAGACTTGTGTAATCTGAAGGATGGGTTATGTTGGTTAGAAATGGGCACTGCTGGAGAAGTGAGTGAATACTGGTGCAAATGTCTCATAAATCCGAAACGTTCATTGTTATAAAAGAGCTTGAAATGAGTTAGGTATTTTTGAAAAACACAGTACGGACTCAGAAGCCACACTCTTTGAATTATTATATTATTTGAGTAATTTTATATAGCTGTGTACAAATTAGCCAGAGCGTTTCTAGTCTAGGTGGAAATCAGATAGGGAATTCTGGGGGTTTGTGAGTCCCTCAGATACAAGAAAAACTTGACTAAGAACCTTGCTGTGGGATGGAGGTACCTCGCTGTGGGATGGCAGGGAAGAGCTGACGAGCTGCTTTCTGTGAGGATCTGCAAGCATCCCGGTATCGCTGGCTGGGACGTGTCAAACCAGAAATGCTGGTTGTGGAGCTTCGTTGTGAGACAGTGCTTTCTTCCAGCTCTGCTTTCAGATCTTTAATAAGTATCTGTGATGAAACATTTAACCAGCAATTACAGTCGCCTTTGAGCACCAAGTGCTTATCAGGTGGCAAATGATCTCTGAGTTGCTGCTTTTCTGAAAATGCAATTCTCAGTTAGATTAAGCTTTCATAGAGGCCCAGGTACAGCAGAGGATGGTGTGGAGCTGGGCCCAGGTGGTTTATCAGGGAAAGCAATAACCAGCTGCCAGTCCTTTCCATATCCAGAGCTCCTGCTGCGAGGGGAGCGTGCCCACAGTCTGAGGCATGAGGAGCAGAGCCAAATATTTAGACCTAGTAACTGAGGGCTGTAAGGTTTTATTGATGTAGAGTCATTCATGTGGGCTTAGAATAATCTTGACGGAAATTGTGGTCTGACCTTGGTTAAAGTTCAAGGTAACCACAACAGCAAATTACTTCATTGGGCTCTCTGTGCCTGTCCTGTGCCAGCACACTCCAACTCCTGCTCTCCTCATGTCCTGGGAGCACAGTCCTCCCAGCCTGGGAGGAGACCTCAGTTAATCAATGACTCTTGGTACACAGCACTGAGATGTTCCAGAGAGGTTCTTCCTGCATGTGCCACTACCAAATCTGTCTGCTGCGATGAAGCCTTGAGGCTTGTTCTGCACAAAATGCGTCCCAGCGGTGTGGCTGCAGTAGGCAGCAGTGTGGCAGCCTTGTGTCATGGGTTAGCAGGCCTGGTGTGCTCTATTTCCTTCCCTTTTTCCATAAAATTGCAGCTTGGGAAAACAGCTTGTGCACAGCTCCAGCTGCTGCTCATTGGTGACCGTTAGAAAGCTGAACTTGAACTAATTTGTCTTTAATTTCTCCTACTGTGTGTTAAGAACAATATTTAATTAGTTATTATTAGCATGCCAAATACATTTTAATATTTTAAGGTTGGAACAAGCTGCTCTTTGGCCAGAACTTGTCTTTTGCCTCTTCTAGTTGCTGTGGAGTCGGTGTGCTCCTGACAGTCCTGTGCATGGATTCTGGAGTAACTGCAGACACCCAGGTGGAACCTTAATTTCAGTGTGGGTTTTATTCCCAGAAACTTGAAGAAATTCTTGGCTGTGAGAGTGGGGAGGCCCTGGCACAGGGTGCCCAGAGCAGCTGTGGCTGCCCCAGGCCAGGCTGGATGGGGCTTGGAGCCACCTGGGAGAGTGGAAGGTGTCCCTGCCCGTGGCAGGCGGTGGGATGAGATGGGGTTTAAAGTCCCTCCCAGCCCAAACCAGGCTGTGATTTTATGATTCTACACTTGTTTCCCTCATGGCCTTAGTATTATCTGTGTTTGGTGCTGTGCATGAGTTATTTGGTTTTTTACTTGCAACAAAAAGCCTGCCCAGGGTTTTTAAGAGAAAGTAGAAGTTAAAAAAAATGTAGCTTGTTGGTATTTTTAGCTTGAAATATTCACGTGGGTACTGCAATATCTGCTTGGATGGTATTTCCTGAAAAGAAATACCACAGTCAGGTACAACATAGTTTTGGCTAAGTTTTTAAGCAGAAGAGTCAAGAATTTTTAAATCTACATGTTTTTGATGTTACTGAGTCTGATTTAGGCTGTGGTGTCGGTGAAGGTTGATTTTTGGCTGGGATCAGTCTGTAGTCTCTCAGTAGTTACTCATGCTGTCACTAAAGAGCCCTTGAGCATCAACTTTTCCTTTTCTACCTGCAAACCCCATTTGCTCTGATATTGTTGGCCTCAAATCCTATGCAAGTAACAATTCCCAAAACTCTTGCAAGGGGAAGCAGGGGATCCATTTATTTGAAGGAAGAAAGGTTTTCTATATGCATGACCACTATCCCCAAAGGCAGAAAGAAACTTCCAGAAACTTCCATAAACTTCAAGCCAGAGGAGTTATTTTTGCCTTAAACCATTTAGAAAAAGTCCTTAAGGGGAATGTCATTCCTCACCTAAACTTTTTTCTCCTTGAAGTTTTCATTATTCTTTCCTGGTGAGAGGAACCCTTGCTGCTCTGGAGGAAGAGGAGGAGGATGGCTCTGAGGCTGAGGGCGTGGGGGGTGGTGTTAAAATAGTTTCTTTTTCAGTGGTTCTCACTTGTTGCTTTTATTTTGAGATAAGTTTGTTTGAATAACCTCTCTTTAGGATACACTAAGCAGATTTGGGTATCAAAATTGTTGACTATCAAAAAGAGTATCATTATAATATAATAAACTGCTCTTTTGAGGTTTTTTCCCCCGAGGTTTTAGAGGAGTTAGTTTTAAGCTCTTATCTCAAATTCTCTGCAGCTTAGAGTCGTGGGAAGCAGGGGGAAGCTGCTGAGTGATCTCTGTTGGAGGCCTCCAGCCTTTTCCTTGCAAAGCTTCACTTGAGATAATTCCTGTTAGTTCTGTGTCATCTCCTTGCTGCCCTGGCCACTGCTGTGCTGTGCTGCTGGCGTTCCCCGGGCAGCCTGATGTGCACGGATGGGTGGGCACAGACCTGGAGCACATGGGATTTGAGCAGGGAGATGCAAATGCACTGGAACTGGTCCTGTGTGCCTCCCTGGGATGTAGCTGCAGGTTTTTGGGGCTCTGCTGGCATGAGCATCATCTTTTTCAGCACTGGAGAGTCCCTGATTTCATGAAGTAAATGCCTCCTAGCACTCTTTCAGCTGTTTCAGTTCTTGTGAGTGTTGTCTAGAGGTTGTTATGAAAATAAAACCCAGCAGATAAATGGATTGTAGTTGGGGTCAAGCATTTTCAAGCATTGTCTAAGAGGGTTTTTTAAATTATTATTTATTGGGTAGGTCTTGTGTCAAGCAAAATGAATGCCAGCTGCACTGATAGAGCCAGGTGATTAAGAACTGAACTGGTATTAAGGTCACTGGCTGAATTAGAGAATGAGATGGATTAATGTGTGCACAATACTGAAGGATGTGCCAGCTGCTAGCAGCCGTGCTCTTTGTTTTTCTCTTCAAATTGAAAAGAAATGTAGAATTTTAATGCCTCTGCTATAAACTTGACAGTTAAATGCCTTATGGCAGTAATGGGTAACTTTGTTGGGGCAGGTCACTGAATATTTCTGCAAAGTGTTGTGCAGGCATTCATCTCTATTCCCTCCCAAATGGAGCTCTGTAAATTGAATTAATGCTCTGTTGTTTTGCCAGAGATCTGCCTGTTCCTTGGTTTACCACTCCAGGTAACAATGTGTTTATCTAACAAAGCTCAAGCAGATGACCAAAGCACGACTTGCACAAGGAAAAGAAACATTCAGAACACGATATTCCCTTTCCTTTCCTCCTAATTCCTTGCCTTGAGCCTGAGGTTGTTCAGTGTGAGGAGAAGGCAAGTGCCAGCTCCTGCCCTTGGCTCACAGCCGCTGCAGGCTCGGGGAAGGGTGGCTGGAAGGGTTCCTTGAGGAAAGGACTTGGAGCTGCTGAAAGGGCAGCAGCAGCTGAAAGTGGGCCCAGGTGGGCAGGAGCCCCCGGGCTGTGCCAGCCGTGGTGGGACACAGCCCAGGACAGCAGGGACTGTCCCCGGGGCTGGCCCTGCTGAGGCCCCTCCAGGGCCGTGTCCAGCCCTGGGCCCTCCGGCCGGAGGGGCTGCGGAATGTCCAGGGAAGGGAATGGAGCTTGGAAGGGTCTGGAGCCCCAGGAGAGGCTGAGGGAGCTGGGAAGGGTCTGGAGCCCCAGGAGAGGCTGAGGGAGCTGGGAAGGGGCTGGAGCCCCAGGAGAGGCTGAGGGAGCTGGGAAGGGGCTCAGCCTGGAGAAAAGGAGTCTCAGGGGGCCCTTGTTGTTCTGCACAGCTTCTGACAGGAGGGGACAGCCAGGGGGTCAGGCTGTGCTCCAAGGAACAGGGACAGGAGGAGAGGGAACGGCCTCAGGCTGGGCCAGGGGAGGCTCAGGGTGGACAGCAGCAGGAATTACTCCATGGTAAAGGTGGTCAGGGATTGAAGGGGCTGCCCAGGGAGGTTTGGAGACCCCGTCCCTGGAGGTGTCTAGGGAAGGCCTGGATGTGGCACTCAGTGC